TTCCACTGTGAAGTTCTAGAGGTTATATTATTTTCTCATTAATTTATACTGAAAGATCCAGGCAACCTTACCTATACAGCTAATGTGGGGAAAAGGCATGTTTATATTATCAGAAAGTTGCACTTCTGTATCAGTTGGAGTGTCACAGTGTTATATCTATACCCCTCTCTCAGTTTGGAGGCTTGGGCTGAAATCTAGACACAAATCTAATTCAACTCAAAGATCAAGGGGATCTCAAGGAAATGATGAATTGCTGATGTGGCAACATTGCCTGTAATATCAAAAATACTGTCTTCTATCTTTTAATAATATTGATGTTTTTTAATTGTGGAATATTTTTAAATGTTTATTTTATGGCTTTTTAAAATTGTATGGTGCTCAGATTCATTTTTGTCAGACCGGCAGCTATAGAAATATGATGAATGAATGAATGAATGAATGAATGAATGAATGAATGAATGAATGAATGAATGAATAAATAAACTCAATGGAAATTACTTCAGTTTTAAGTAGATCAGTGTTGGTGCTTTTGTCACAAATTCAGCCCCGCCCCCAAAGGCTTAAAACATTTATTTCAAAGTGCAAAGTTCAGAATTCAAATTCAACCCAATCAAGAGAATACTTAGAATACTTCCCATTTGGAAAATCTGTCTGTTTTTGTGTCTCTTTGCAAGAGATGCATGCCTCTTTTCTTTTTTAGTTTTGGAAGAACAGTCTAAGAAATATTAATGTTTTTAAAAATGTGGCTCGGATGTCATATGATCCCACTCAGGCCAAGGCACACTATCTCACCAGAAGGATTACTCCTCCCTGATGGTCATTGCTCCCTGAAATTCTGCAAAATGTAAATTAGCTACTTCCTTGCTTATCAAGCTATTAGCATTTTAAATGCTGTCCTTTAAGATTTTTTTTAAAAACTTTTGTTACCTTTGTTTTTTAAAAATCTGAATAGAGTTACATTAACATTCAGCCTACTTCTGATAGTAATCAAGTTGTCCTTCCCTTCCCTTCCCTTCCTCCAGGCTTGCACATCATTCCAACTAAATCTGATTCTGAGCGGCTCACAATTGTCCAGCCAACTGTGAATCCAGTCAACTGTGATTTAAGAAAGC